TTTTTTTTTTTTTTTTTAAACAATGTAAAACTTGTTGGAATGTTTTGTTTGTAATATTTAATTCCTAATTGGTTTGCCTGTCCTAGCACAGCACCAGCAGCACAATTTTTTTGTATTTAGCATGGAGTCATTTTTTTCAGCAGCTGAAGGCTGTTTCATCATACTGGCTTATTGTACAGCTTTTGTTATTACAGTAAATTGCTTCTCACCTGTGTTTTTTTTTTCCAGTTTTGTCTCGTTGGGTCGTTGCACTTTCAAACATTATGGATTCTTCTTAAAATAATTATGGAAGCCCTATTAACTACTATAATTATATTTCAGTTAATAGTAGTATTACGCCCCGCAATCAGATTTAGACTGTTTTATAGTGGAAGGAAAGATTTCATTTTTTTTTTTTCACTGCAGTCCTCGTAATTTATGAAAGGTATTGTTACTATATTGTTATTGTTGTTGTTATTGTTATTGTTGTTGTTATTATTATTGTTATTGTTATTAGATTCTTAGTATTACGATTATTATTATTATTACTATTATTAGTGTTATTATTATTATTATTATTATTATTATTATTATTATTTTTGTCGCTGTTATTATTGTTATTATTGTATATATATTTATTTGTATCTATTCATTTTTTGAAATACGATTTTAATTAGTGGTTTGATTTGTCAACTGCGCATTTAATTCTTTGCTATTAGCTTACTCTGTGAAGTAAACGCATAGTGTATCCGTTCGCCTTGATGTCTGGAAGTCGCTCTGCCAGAGCTGTTTCGGAGTTTTAGATAAGTCTTGATACAGCTAGCCAAATTTTTGAAAACTCATATTCTTTCCTATGAAGGGTTGATTAATATATGCATTTGTTAACTACATGTTATTTGCTTTTTTCATTATGATTGTCTGTCCGTGTTATCGTACGCTTCCGTTTCATGCAGAAATCTGCAGATGATTTTAAATTTTAACTTTTACTCATTGTTTTCTTTTTTAGTTTGATGTCGAATCGGTGCAACCAAAAAACCCAAGGGAAAACGCACAAAGCTGCGGTAAGATCTGCATTATTAGAAGAGTTTAACGCAGTAAGCGAAGAGTTTTTCATGAATGTTTGTAGTAAATTTTCTACAATGTACGTCATTTTTCTAATCATTTTTATGCTTTTCTTATCTATTTGTTATGGAAAACTGTGGAAATCGAGGGTAGTATTTCCTTTTTATGGACAACGTTGAAGCTTCCTACGGTTTTTTTTTTGCATAATAAATAACTTATATTTTTTCCGTATTCGACAATTTTAGAAGCAGATTGTAACGACAACGACATCAGCTCCCACTCAAACCCCGTCGCGGAGTCATCATGTAGGCTTTGTTCTTCCCTTTATTCTTGAATTTGAAGTGATTTTTAAACGGTGAAGCAACTAAACTGTCTCTTGTTTAGTTCACCATGATCTTCTTGGTGGATGATACGGGTCATAAATAAGAAGCATTACAATTCATAAAGTTTGTCACAGATTTTTTATTCTGAAGACACTCATAATTTTGTGTTAGTTGTATTGAGGAATCTTCGAGTTTTGATTGAGAGATTCTAGACTGCTTGTTGGTTTATATATCTCTTTATTGTTAACTGGAATTCAGTTACGGTATATATATTAACCGTCATATGTATATATAACGGTTAAATTCATAGTGTTTGAGCTTTTTTCTGGTAATGTTTCAACGTTATACTAGAAATTCTTAGATCTCCACTTTATTCGTTTCTGTGCTGATTGGATTCGTCTTCGGTACACTGAAACTTCTAGCATCGTTTTAGAGCCGGAGCTCACACCTTTGGAGGAATTTTATGCCTGTTAACGTAACAAATTGAGCTGCTGTAGAAGGCTTTTTCTGCGTGAAGTTACTTATGGTATTCGTTTGTTCTAACTTTTGATATGATAAAAACTTGTTGCTCGAGAAAGGTAAGATGGGTCGTTATATTATCTAAAGTAGGCGGAAGGAAAAAAACTTTTTTGGTGGTACTCAGACCGTTGAAGAAATGACGAGTTGTTAGAGAAAAAATTGGTTGGGATAGCTGAGAAGGGAGAGTATTAAGCAGTGATCAAGTCAAACCATAGGATAGCTTTGGAAATCGTAGGGGATCATCGTTTTTTGGATACCTTGTAACCAAGTTTTCTTAATAGCCTTTCTTCCATTTTTCTGCAGTTTTTTCCGCACTTTTTACTGTCAGAAGGACTTTTGCTCATTCTCTTTTCTTTTACTGCGAAGGTGGGGAACCCTATTTTAAAACTCTCTTGATTATTTTCAGTAAAGTTAGCAACTTCATTGTTTTGTCTTTTTGTTGAAATTGTTTCATCAAGTCTCAGTGAGGAAGAAAAACACGGTGTTTTGGACAGTGGGATTGTTTGATAGGATGGGCGTTGAAGTTTCTTGTGTCTCGAACAGTTTTTACAGTCGAAGGTATATGATGCACATTTTTGAGAAAGACTTGTTTGGTGGCTTTTGTTGTATGAGGGTTGAAACAGTTATTGAAAATGAAGTTTTTTTATGTTTTTTCGAAGACTAAGGGGGTTGTTTACTTTACCTTTAATCTTAAGAACTGCTTTAAAAGTTGGCAGTTTTATGAATGAGGCGAAATTCTCTAAACAAAGTGGAAAAAGCAGCCAACAGCTGGCTTTCAGAATGCTCTTTTTCTATAAGAAGGAGGCATCCACAGAGTGGTTTACGGGCGGTGCTGAAATGTGTTACCATGAGTTGAGATGATTGGTTTTGCATTATTATCCATCCATCACTGTTATGCCTTCCGCTAAATTAATTTCAACTAAAAAAGTTTTGAGCTCTTTTAGCCTGGTGGCCCCGTATTATTCTTCCATTTCAGTGGAAGAGGCTTGCGAAGAAAAGTGAATTATCTACAGCCAGTCAGCTTGATGGGGATTCTAGGCTAAAAGAGAGCCAGAAGTTCGGATTGGGAGTTTTCCGTAATGTTTACGTTGATAATATAGAAGTCGTAATTGCTTTCTTGAAAGTTACTGTAATTTTGGTTCTTATCAGATCTGAAATATCCTAGCTACAGGGAGCTCTCAGCCTGTAGTATTTCAGAGCTTTAGTATTAGGGTTCTGATTAAAGTTATCTCACTTTGAAAATTCTGTGTTTTCGTTAAGCCATTCGATGCTAAAGTTTCAAGCTTTCTTTATTTGCTCAGAGTATAGTGCAACTAACTCGATAACTCACTTGTTCTGGTAGCTGCGGAAAAAGTAATGTTTACACTTTTGGTTGTCCTTTGAGCTATTTTCTCCTGGCGCTGCAGAAGATCTTGGTCCTTGGCCTAGAAAGTTTTTTGTAGGTAATTTTGACTGATTTTTGAATAGAATGAAATTTATGGCCCGTGAAGGCATCAGAATATTTTGAAAAAAACCGAATAGTCGATATTTCTTCTCTGTTAGGCAGGAAAGTGAATATTTCCTCACTATTGTTATTTCTTCACTAAAAGAAGATGACTTTAATTCCGATTTTAAACGTAGAAATTCAGTAAGTTGTCATGGTAATTATCAAAAATAGAATTTCATTCCGACGAGGGTTGTGGAACTTTGAAATACTAATTTTGAAGTACAACATTCTTGTTCGATATTATATGTCCAAATTTTTGTGTTTTCGAACTGGCACTGTGGAGTTTAGCGAAACAGTTATTACTGGTGGGATGGATAAATGAAGATTGGTAGGTTTAGGCTTAAAACTGGAGTATTCTCGAAAAACCTTTTTTACAGAGATTTCATAAAGATTAGCTTTCATTTTTGTAGGAAATAAATTGAAATTTTTTAAATAATTTGTAAGGGTTTCTTTATGAATGCTTCAGAGAGTTGGGAGTTTATTCGTCGAAGTGAGCTGTTGGTTTTGTATGAAGATTTGTCAGAGTAACAAGTAATTAGTGTGGAATACAGAATCATCATTGTGTTACGGTAGTGTATCTGAGATGTGAATATAGTGATGGCTAGTTGTGGGCCGCCTGTTGTTTTTTACTTCATGGTTGAACTGTGAAATAGCGGGGTTCTTCTGGATTTGTGTATCTATCAGATGCGTCTTGGTCAAAAAAGCTTTTATATTTTCAACATTAACTTTTAGTATATTCTGCTTGATAATATGCATTTTACTTTCAGTACTGTGGAATATAGTTTTTTTCTTACCATTAATTTCAGTTACTGCAGTGATATTTCTGTGGTTTATTTTTTGTTAGGATATATTTTTTTTAAGGAATGGTCGTCTCCGTCAGTTCGATCAATATATCCTCAAGTTCAGCAAACACCGCATTCATCTAGCCCTTCATCTCCTTGCGACCTGAGATTTCATGTTGTATCTTCATCTCCTCGGTCATTACGAGACTCGCAACGTCGTGGGCGCATTATTAAACCTCAACGTGTCTTGTAAGGCTTTTTGAAGTATCGAGCCAAACAGGATTTTGTCTTGTGCTTTAACCACTTTAACTTAGTACTCGCCACCATAGGCCATTATTTTTATCTACAGGATGTAATTAAGTAGACGAAGGTTAAATGACAAAATTCCATAAATTCGTTTTAAATTGGCATATATTGGCAAGCTTATTGCAGCTTTGCTTAGACCGATTTAGTTTTATAGAACAGTTCAAAGGGGGTGAGGACAGGATTCGTGCAAAATTAGTTTTTTTTTTGGGTTGTTCCTTTCTTCTATTTTAGGGATTTTAGTAAAGCATGTATTATTCTAGAGAACCGTCTCTGGTTGGCTCTGTCGCTGGTTTTGTTTATGATGCAATGCCACAGGCCTCTTCTTTGCAAGCTCAAAATGAACGAATTGAGTGGGTGAATTTTCAAAAATATGAAAACGGTATGTTGTAGGATTTCAATTACTTTCGGATTTTTATTTTAGGAAACGTTTTATTAAATCAAAAAATGTTCCTAATTTTTGCATAGATTATGTTTTAATTTAGCTGTCGATACTGCACTGAGTCTAGATATCATTATTTTTGGACTTACACGTGGTTTTCAAATTTGGGCTATTCTGGTAAGTGTATCAATGCTTCAAATATCAAAAAATGTATTTTTCATACCATTTAGTTACTGAAGTTCTTTTGCTTACACCTTCTAGATGAGTACTTGATTTTAGGAGAATGGAGAGTGTGAGGAGATTGTGACGGAAAGACAGGGTCCTTTAAAGATTGGACGTTTATTGACTTACTCTCCAATAGAAAGTTTCGGTGTTACTGAAGACAAGTGAGTTTACTTATTCTTCAAAGTTAGTAGTTGTTTGTGAAGTCAGACCATTACATATCGGCCTACTTTTGAGATCGGATATAAATTCTTTCTTCTTCTTATTATATAATTAGCTGCATCTTTGAAAATGGAGGATTGAAATTAATTTTTGTTCCTTTACTGTGGTGTAAAACCAAAAAATTTTCTATTAGTTATATATTGGTATTTTTTGTTGGTGATCATAAAATTGTATCTTGTTTTCATTTCTTCTACAGCGTCTTAAATGATAGAGTTCCTGCGAAGTTCTAATAATCCAAATTCGTGTTTCAGATTTTCTAATGCGCGACCTTTATTTGCTGTCGTTGACGCTAATTCACCTCTAGACCGGCTTTCGTGTACGCTATCCTTTCTCTCATTGATTACGGGGCAATATGTTCATCGTATTGTATTTCCAGACCAGATATGTGGTTTTGAAGAATCACCAAAGTAAGCTGTTTTGGTAGTTATTATGGTGACTTTTTTTAAAAGAGGGAGTGTTTTCATGTTGTTCTGAAATTAAAATGTATGTGGAGTCTTTCAGCTAGTCTTTGATTTTTTGAATACGAATAGAATTATCTTAAGGGTATTGGTTGTTTCTTTCCCAATGCGGATTGTCGTTTGTGATGCAATGTCACTTCGAGAACAGCGCTGTATCTATTATCCAAAGACCCCGACAATTAATAATATTTTCGCAGTTTCTGATATATTTCTTGCATTTGCTGATTCAACGGTTACTAGACTTCTTAATCTTTCTCTTTTTTTGTTTTGGATTTGAGTAGTTTTTCGTTTCGGTCGGCTTATTAATTACTTTCTATACCTATTGTGAGCGGCTAATTTTCACTTACTTTGCGAAATACTTGTTTATTTTCAAGTTATTCAGTGCTGTTTATGCTTCTGTTTTTCAGTTTTTACAGTCATGGCAAAGCTGTGGCGGCATGATGACAGAAGAAGATGTAACCCCTGCCAACCATTCATCATATGCATCTACAGTTGTGAACGCTGCCTCTGTAAGTATTTACTGATCAATCTAGCCTTCAATAACCAGTTTAATTCCTTATAAAAAGAGTAGATACTTGCGTTCCTTCATATTTTTTGATTTAGAGTTTAACAAAGGCATTTTCTACTTGGAGTGAAAGCGTCGTGTCTTCATTCTCTTCTTCTCCGAAGTCGAAGCATCTTCTAAGCTCGTTCTCCCATCCTGGTATTGTAACTGTTTTAGACGTAACAAAGTTACCAGTGAACAATGAATATGAGGTAAATTAAAAAACAGAGATTGTTATTTTTCTTCTTTTTAGTGGATTTCAAAATTCTAATAAATTTTACCTGAATTGGAAAATGCTAACTGGATCTTTTACTCTAGGAAAACGCCAAGCCATATTTTTCAGAGTCTTTCTTGGTCCTCCTCTTTTTACAAGTTCTGTATCTTTTACTTATTATTTCACTTCGAGAAAGTAAGAATTATACTGATATTTCAAAGATAGGGAGCTGTTGATGAATGATCATTTTCAAATCAGCTGATTAGTTATGTTCGGGAGGTACAGAATCATTGATGACTTTTTAAGTCATTACAAAGGAATTTTTAGTTGGAATGCAATGATTCAGTTCTTGCTCATTTTGTTGCTCATACTGAACCTATTGGATATCTGCGGTTTGGTCACGGAGGACGAATTCTTCTCACATCTGGTAAAACTGTCGCAT